CCTCCCTCGCGGCGGCGGCGGCGGCGGCGGCGGCGGCGGCGGCGGCGGGTCCCGGCCTCGGCTCTGCGCGCCCGCGCTCCCGGCGCCCGCAGCCAACAAGTTCGGGACGAGACTGACAGCTCGCTCGCCCATTCGTCACCCGCGCACCTGCATATGCATGAGGGGGCGGGGCCGCGCCGCGGGGTGGGGCTGGGGGCCGGGGGCGCCGGGCTTTAAAGGCTGCGGAGGGTGCTCCTGCCCGCGCCCGAACCCGGCGCGCGCTCCGCCGGTGCCCGGAGCGGCAGGGGTTCCGCCACGCCCCCGCCCCAGCCGGCGTGCGGGGGCCGGCGCGGCCGAGCGGCCTCCCCTCGCGCGCGCCCCGCCGGGTGTCGGCAGCCGGGGGTGGGGCGCCCCTGAGGTCACCGCCGAGGTCCCCTCCCATCAGTGCGCCGCCGCCGCTCCCCGCCGTCCCCGGGGAGAACCCGCCTCCGGCACAAATCAGGGCCGTGCCCCCACGCGGGGTGGGCGCGGCCTGGGACCCCTCCCCGGGGAAGGCTCCCCCCACCGCGCCGCCCCCACCGCCTCCGCGCCGGCCGCAGGGGGCGCTGCTCGGCGCCCACACCCCTGCCCTCCCGCCGCAGGGCTCGCGGGTCCCGCCGCCCGGCAACAGATGCTCCGCGGCGCGAGCTGGGTGCCGGGTCAGCCCTGGCGCGGGGCTGAGTAGGCCACGCTCTCGCGGAACGCCCGGGCCGGAGACGGGGCTTGGGCGGGGACGCTGGGGAGCGAGCGGGGAATAAAAGGCGGCGGTGCTCGCTCAAAGGACGAAGTGGGAGCTCCCCAAAGAGGCTCCTCCTGCTGTCCCGGTCACCAGGTCCCCACGTACCCCCCCCCACCATCACCGTGCTGCCCTCTGCCGGGGTAACCTCGCGCCGCCCCCCACCCCCACCCGGGGTCAACTCCAAGGGCTCCTCGTCTGCAAACATCGGCTCCCCCCCCAGCGAGCAGGGTCCCTTTGGCGCAGGCGGGTCACATGGGCAGTTAGGGATCCCGAGGTCCGCAGGGGTCCGGCCCCACCGCCACAACAACTGGGCGAGTCTGTCATGGGCCCCTTGGCTGGGGACTGGGTGCTAGGAGTGCAGTCCCTGCCTGGAGCTAGGAGCTGCCGTGGCTGGCAGCAGGGGGGGGGCAGGGTGAGGCACGGAAGGCTTCCTGGGAGAAGCGGCTCTGAAGAAGGGGGTAGGAGGGCAAGCGCAGCCCTCTTTCTCACCAGGCTGTGCGGCCAAGTCGCCAAGGGGCCCGGATGCCCTGAGCGCGCAACCCCCTCACGGGGTGTAGGCCACTGCCCGCAAGCAGTGCTTCCGGGATCCAGGCATCCGGGTCCCCTGAGGGCCACGAAGGGATGGGCCCGGCTCTGCTCCCGGCACCCGTCCCTCCCTGCCTGAGCCCCTCTGTCTCCTGGGGTGAGGGGGCAGGATGCCAGCCAACGCCTCCAAATAAGGGAAGGCAAGCTGTGTTCAGAGCCTTCCAGATGCCGCCATGGCCGCGGGGGTCACTGTGGGGATGCCTCCTTCTCGCTGCCCCTGCCCGGAAGCAGGCACCCATATACTCCAGGCCCCAAGTTAGGAGACCCCCAACACACACAGACATACAGAGCTCCAGGGGATCAGGGCTCCATCCCTGTCCATGCCCACTGCCCCACTATCCAGGGAAGCCCTGGGTGCCTCTGCCCAGCATTCAGCCTAATGGTGAACCCTTGAGGGGCCCCAGTCCAAGGGTGAACAGAGCTAAAACGACAAACTCTAACGGTGAGGCAGGCAGGGCAAACCGCACAGGGGGCCTGCTAAGACCCAAAGGCAGGCGAGGGTCAGTGGCGTGAGGAGCTGGGAACAGCACATGCAAAGACCTCGGGGTGAGGAGGCCTGACCCCCGCGAAGGCCTGTGAGAAACACAGTGGCAGAGGCCGAGCAGGGGAGGGGCAGGCCTAGGTGAGGCCAAGGTGGGAATGAGTGCGGGGCCTCACTGGGCCTCTCCATGGGTCTTCATGCTAAGACCAAGGGAAGTACAGAGAGCAACCGAGCTGGGTTGGGCTGCACAGCAGTGACCTACATTTTCCCAGAGCTCCCTGGCTGCAGGGAGAGGGGCAGCAGGGGGTGAGGTCAGGGCAGGGAGGCCACAGGTCACCACAGTACAAGTGAGAGGGGCCAGTGACCCAGCCAGGGCCTGGCAGCGGAGGGACCTGGGACCGAGCAGGGGGAATTCCTAGCGAAGTGAGAGGCGGGGTCCACAGAACAATTCCCCGTGTGCCCCTCCCTCAACCACGCCCGAAGCTTCCTGCCCACGGCCGGCTGTGGGCGGGAAGGACAGCCCAGAGACTGGCTGTGCGGTGGGTTGCAGAAGCCGCTGGGTCCCAGCAGCGGTTCTCCGCCCGCTCAGAATGGCCTCGGCCTGGAGGCTGCAGTGACGGATGCTCACTCTATCGCAGGATTCAAGCTCAGCCTGTCCAAGGAGGCAGCCTCCCCTGGGGCCCTTCCTGCTGGCCAGCCCCGGTTCGGGGTACAGAGCGCCCCCACCTGCCCTGCAAAGCTAGGGAGACAGTGGCCTGGCCCCATCTGCTTCCCTCCAGGCCTTTTGGGAGCAGGACCTGGGTCCCCCTGGCCCAGAGCAGCTGGGTCCTCCCCTTTGGGGTCCCCCCATAGGGATTTCTGCAGCTCCTGGGCTGGAGGGCTGGGGATCTGATGGGGGCTCGGGCTCCTACTTCTGCCCGTGCTGGGCCAGGCTGCTCTCCCTCTTCCAGGAAGACCCCCGTCCCTGCTCTGGGGCCCGCTGGATCCCAACACCTGTCTCCCACCCAGGTCCACCCGCCCCTAGCCTGGGGGCTCCCTCTCTGCATTCCCCAGTAAGAGGGTCTCTCAGGATGTTCCGAGCTGGGCGCTTGACAAGGCCGAGATGGGGTGGAGGCCCCCAAGCTGGCAGGGGCCCTTCAGGACCAGGCTGGGGTGCTGGCTGCCTGGAGTTTGGATGGAGCTGGCTTGGCTCTGGAATGAGCTGTGCTTCCGCCCGCCTGCGATCTGTGGTGCTAAATATAGCGGCCAGGGAGGGGAGTTTCCGGTTACAACCCCCCCCCCCCAGCCCCCAGTGCCGGGAAATCGATGCCAGCTCCATTAGGCCCAGCAGCAGTGCCTGCGGACCTGCCCCGTTGGACTGCAGAGCAGAATGACGGGGCTGGACCGCACCCGGGCCGGGCGCTCTGTCCCTCACCCCCCACCCTGCCGGCTGGGCGCCTCCAGCTTGCTCCCCACGGCACAGAGCCACCGGCGCCACCCATACCTGCCAGAGGCCGCTCTGAGGCTGTGGGCAATGCCTGCAGGTCGGCCAAGAAGGACAGAGCTCCAGAGGCAGGCACCAGGCGGCCGGCCGCGAGCAGGGGAGGCGGGGTGGTGTGGTTCTTGGCTGGGCGGAGTCCCGGCCCTGTGACTTGGTCTCCGGGCCGCTCTGGGCAGCGTGGGGCAGGGCTGCTCTGGACCCCGCCACAGCCCAGGCCTGACAGCCCCTTGGGCACAGGCCGCAGGCCCGAGGGCCCCTCCTCGTCCCTCACCTGGCCGGGCTCCCGGGAAGCCCCACCTGGGTCCCAGCCAGCATTTGCATACAGGTGGTGCTGCTTGAGTGCGCCCCTTGGGCACTGCCTCTGCGGGCAGCCTCCCCCGCCAGGCCCAGGGGCGGTCTGCACTGTGCTGGTCCCAACCTGCCTGAGCCCCAAGCCCTCCCCAGGCCAGCAGGGAGGGAGGGACGCCCGCCACCCCCAGGCATGCTCAGGAGCCAACACCTGCCTGCATGGGGTCAGCCTGGGGCCGGAGCGGGCTTCCAGGCAGGCACGTAGACCTCAGCCCACGCGAGGTGCCCGCACTTGACGGTGGGGTCTCAGTGAGAGCCAAAGGCATGGCCCTCCCCAGCATTCGCCTCGATGCCGGACTGAGGCCCGGTCCCAGACACAGCAGCTCAGGGCACTAAGTGGGGTCTGCAGCAAAGCTCCTGGTCACTCCAGTCCCCACCTATGACAGCAACGGCCCCGGACATCCTGCCCTCTCCAAACCATCACAACTCTTCACCCACAGCATCGCCCATGGGTCTAACCGGAGAGCTTGGAGGGCTCAGGGGACAGGTCAGGCTGGCCCTCCCTCCGGGAGCTTCCCCAGCCCATCCTGCAAATGCCCAAGATCACCGCATCCCCTCCGTAATGGGTTCCAACCCACCCACTGCCTATAGAGGCCTTACTGGGTGTGGAGCTGAGTGGGCACCAAGCACTCCCGTGACCCCAAGTGTTTAAGGGTCACAGAGGCAGCTCCCGTAGTGCCTGACCCGCAAGACAGGCTGGCACGCGTGGCGGGGGTCGTTCGGCCTCACAGGCCCACACTGATTGGCGAGCAGAGCGATATCCCGGAACAAACTCCCAACAGTCCAGGGCATGCCAGGGCTGCTGGGGGCACGAGACCAGATCCAGAGCGGCTCTGGCTTTGGGCTCCCGGAGAAGAAACCCAGCCCCGGAGCCAGGAGCATGTACCCTCAAGAACGCACAGCCTGCACTTCCGTCCCTCCTCCTGAGGGCCGGCCCAGGCACCACCCCCACAGCCATACGGCTGCCCCGTGGCCCACCACGCAGTCCTGCCTGAGCGCTTGGCCCAGCTGAGCCCCCAGCCCCACCTCTCCTGCCCCAGCAGGTAGCCTGGCCAGGCACCATCCTCCCTGTCTCTCCTCGGGACCCCGCCTAAGGCCTGACCTTAGCTCCCTGCCCGCCACCAGCTGCCCACAGCCGTCCCTGCCCCGCCGGCAGCCAGAGGCTTCTCGGTGGAATGAGAGCCTCTCGTGGAGAGCACACCCTCCCCCAGGGCCCATCTGGGAAAGACCCACTGTCCCTCCACCCCCCACCCAAGCCCACCCCGGTCACAGCTCAGAGCCAGCAGACACAGGCTAGAGCCACACAAGCCTTTATTTTCATCTGCAGGCCAAGTGGCCAGAACTAGCCTTGGTCTTGGGCCCCTGGAGTCTCACTGGGGACGCAGGCCAGGGGCCACACGGCTGAAGAACCACGAGATGCCGAAGATGACACCGAGGGTCTTGGGGACAGCTGGGTCATCCGCGAAGGCGCGGGCACCATCCAGGGGCAGGTGCACGACCTCAATGAGCTCACCCTCCTCCGCCAGGCCCCCGCCCAGGCCTTCCCGCTGGGCATCCGTCACCTCTGCGTAGAACATAGTCTGGCTGGAGCCAGTGAGTCCCACACCAGACCTGCGGGTTGAGATGGCCTCTACGGAACCAGCCACACAGGCCTCACGGGCCGCCGTGGCCCTTCTGGCCCTCCTTCTAGCCACTCCTGCCCCAGAGACCCGTCTGATAGGCAGAGCTCCAGGATATGCCCCTCCGCACCTCCATCAGATTCCTGCCACCCCCAAGGGTGGCAGAACCCTGGCCTCATGGAGGCTCTCACTTCTGTGGCTCTCATGTCATGTGGCAAAGGTGGAAGGACTCCGCCCGTGTGACTGAAGGCTTTAATCAGCTGACTTCCAGCTTGAGAGATTATCCTGGTGGGCCTGACCTAATTAGGTGAGCTCTTCAGTGAAGGCTTAGTCATCAGAGACGCTGTCCTATGGGCCTTGTAGACCAAGCAAGCTGCCACGTGAGGGGGCCACGTGGTCCAGGCCTGCAGGTGGCCTCAGGGAGCGGACCATGGTCCCCGGCCAACAGCCAGCAGGGAAACGGGGCCCTCAGTCAGCCACACAGCGATGAGGAGCTGGATTCTGCCACAATCACATGAGCTGGGAAGGGGACCCTGTGCCCCAGATGAGCCCACGGCCCCAGCCGACACCCTGACCACAGTGTGGCCAGCCCCTGAGCACCAGGCCCCATTCCCAGGAAGCAGACAGCGGACCCACGGCAACTGTGAGGTTGTAAATGGGGGTCAACAGAAGCCAGAGATCTCTGCAGTGTGGGTCTGCAGCTCCCTCGTGCAGGGCCTCCCTTCCTAGCACAGACCCCAGCTGGCACCCAGGGCCCCGTGCTGGCTGGAAGCAAGGACCCATGTGGCAACCGTGTGGCCCAGGCTCAGACAGCCCCCAACGCCAGCCCCGCCAGGACGCCAGTTCCAGGCTGGGGATGGCTCCTGCTGAGGCAGCAGGGGTGTGGAGGGGTGAGAGGGAGCCCCTCCCTAGGTGGCTGGTGGCCAGAGGGGGCCGCCAGCCACCAGGAGGGGGACAGGCAGCCAGGTGCGGCGCCGTGGCCGGCAGCGTGGGCAGCCGGGAGGGCCAGCCATTCTGCAGTCCAGGACCGCAGAGGAGTCAAGTAAGAGCGCGCCGGGAGACGGGGACCCGAAGATGTCTGCGGCTGCCCAGAGACCTGCAGGCTGGGGGCTGCTCTCGCTGGTGGCCCAGCACACGGGGGGCTTCTGTGCCCCACTGCCCAGGAGGGGGCACCCCAACCAGTCGGGCCTCCCCTGCTGACACAGTCCCTCCTGATGGCCAGTTTCCGGCGGGGACCGCGGCCTGCACCTTTGCCGGAAGCACCAGTCTATGGGGCTTCCAGGAGCAGCTTCCGCCGGCCCGTGCAGGAGACGGGTACAGACGCCGACCCAGAGCAAGTAGAACGTGCCCAGGTCCACCCTCCACTGGGCGATCGAGGAGGAATGCCTGGGCCTTGTCCCCTGTGACGGGCAGGGGAGCCCCCGGCTCTCCTTCGCTCCAAGAGGAAGCATCTGCTGTCTGTCCTGCCCCCAGGGACACCTGCCCCGACCTCTACTCCAGCCCCTTCAGCCCTACCGCCCACAGCCACAGCTTGTCTGTAAAATGCGAGCCTTCCCAGGCTGCTTGCTGCCCAGAGTCCTCCTGGGCTCCCCAGCACCCTTGGGATCAGGCTAGAGCCCCAAGACCCTGCTTGAAGAACCGCTGCGGGGGGAAAGCCGCTCCTCCACGGGTCCCCCACCCCTCCGGGCTGCCTCCTGCCAGCAACCCCTGCCAGCCCCAGATCAGGACCCTCCCGCGCTCCTGGCCACCAGCAGCAAGGTACCTGCGGACAGCAGGCCTGCCCCTCAGACCACCATGCTCAACCACTCAGCAGCCGGTGCTACCCGTGGGGGCTCCATGCCCTGGCTCCGTCCCTTCCTTGGCCTGGAGGTCCGCCCCAGCCCCCCAGCCCCCAGCCCCGGGAGCCACCCTGACAAAGCCCTTGGGCAGCTGAGGCACAGGGCCTGGACCCAGCACTGAGCGACCCCTGCACCAGGCTGCGAAGCAGAGCTCCCCACCGGCCCCCTCCCCGGGGGCGCAGGCCGCTGCCCCTGGAAAGAAGGCTGCGGGGGGGCCATGCTCAGTGCCGTGCAGGGGGCTGTCCTCCCGCTCCAAGTTTTGCCAGGCTCAGGGACCCGTGAGGGCGTCCAAGGGGCAGCACATCAGCACATGGACAGGCTTCACCCTGACGTCGCGTCCTGAAACATGGTGGGGAACGCCTGGGCTTCGGTGGGGACAGGCCTGCAGTCTCAGCTCCAGGCCACAGCCCTGCCCCTCCCCAGCATGCCCGAGCCCCTGCGCCCCAGCCTCATTCCTGAGCCGCTGACAGCAGATCTGTGCCTCTGCCTCCCACCACCCCCACTGCACCGGGTGCCTAATCCCAGCACAGGAAGTCTAGGAGCCTGTCGGTAGCGGCTGCCGCCCGGAGCCGGCCCCAAGTGGCCAGGGGCCGAAGGGCGGGGACCCCTGTGCCCCGAGCTGCCCCCATGAGCCCTGGGTTCCAGCCTGGGTCCCAACCTGAGGGCTTTCTCTGTCCAACCTTCCCCACCTCCATGTTGGAAAACAAGGAGAAGAGCCCTACTTGCACGCCCCAGGGATGGGCGCTCACTGCCTCCCGGCCCACCCCATGCCCCAGGTGGTGCGGACAAGGTGCCCAACCCCACTCACTTGTAGGTGGCCGCCCGGCGCAGGTCAGAGGGAGACAGGCGGTAGCCACACTCCTCCCAAGCCTCTGTGCAGGCCACTTCCTCCAGCGACAGCCCAGGCTGGTCCACGAGGCCCGCACACAGCTCATGTGTGACCCCCACTGAGCCAGGCAGTGCCACCCGCAGCTCCCGGCCTCCGTCGTGGTCCATGGCAGCCAGGGACCCTGGGAAGTGGCGTTCCACCTTGCCCACGTACACAGCTGGTTGGGGAAGGCCGGCCCCGGTCACAGCTGTGTAGTAGATGCTAGACCCCCGCCCCACCGCCACTGGACTTTAGTTTGCCCCTCCCCCATCTACATTCTGACCCTAGGGCCCCAGGGGCCTCTCCCCTCCCCCCAGAGCCCACTCCCGCTCGCCTCTCCTGGCCGGAACTGCTTCACCAACACCAGGCTCTGCTGGGAAGAGCTGAACACGAGAACGGCCGCCCTGTAGGGGGAGGGGGAGGACACGGTACTCAACGCAGAAGCACCACCCTCACCTCACCTCCCCAGGCCCTTGGCTCCCAGCCCCCTGTTCCCAGCATGCCCAGCCCACCTCCTCTCCCCAGCAGTCTGGGGAAATTGGCCCCTTACTCAGATGGGAACACTGAGGCCCAGGCAGGGCCAGAGCACGCCAAGGCCCCACAGTCAGGCCAGGACACGGGCAGAAGAGGGCACAGGGGTGGGGAAGGACATGCTGGGCAGGTTGGGGGTGGCAGCAGCTGAGTCCAGCTGACTGACGGGACATGCGGCCCCCGCGGGCTGGCTGCCTACTGGCCACACTCCTCGTGCCTCCCTGCCATCCAGCCCACAGCCTGCTGCTCACGGGAGGACGAGGGCACCCAGACAGCCTCTTCCAGGTCCAAGAGGGCCCGGCTGCCACTACTGTCCAGGCAGCCTGAGCCAGGAGCCAGAAGGGGACACCCAGAGAGCATGGGTGCATCAAGAACATGGGTGCACCCAGAGGGATGCAGCAAGGCAGGGGAGGGGGACTCCCAGCCCCTGAGCCCCAGCGTCCCAGTGGGCATCAGCCTAGGGATCCCCCAGCAGCCGGGCCAGGCTGGGCTCTCACCTGTCATGTGTCTTCATGAAGTCCCATGACTTGTGAGTGCCGTTCTGGAAGATGCACGGCAGCGGTCAGGGCGGCCAGAGGGCTTCCAGCATGTGTGCAAGTGCCCTGCGAACCTGGGCCAGCCGGACAGACCCACTACACCAGTCCCTCCCCTGGCGGCCCACCAAGGCTGGAGCCCATCCAGAGCGGGAGCTGCAGCAGGTCGGGGAGGGAGGCCACAGACAGCCTGATCCTCTCCAGGGCTGGGGCGGAAACCCACAGCACATGGTAGAAAGGCACCCGAGGCCCAGTGTGAGCTGCCACCTGGGGCAGGCTGGACTCAAGGAGCTGCAAGAGATGTACGCTGTCACCAAGTGTGGGCGGCACCGTGTGGGGCACGGGGAGGGACAGGACGGGGGTGGGGGAGGGGAGCAGAGATCAGGCTTTCAACGCTGAAGCTTCCTCAGGCCACTGGAGACAAACAAGAAGGCAGGAGGGGCAGGCCAGCCTCCTGAGTACACCAGCAGCAGGAGCGGCTGGAGTGGGAGTGCCCCAGCCGGGCGGGGGGATCGCCCCGCCGGACATGGTGATGCAGTGATGGTGACTGGACAGGGGATGACCCCGCCCCCGCCCAGCTTCTGTCTGGGGCTGTCTCTCGTGCATCCTGTCGGCCTGTTGTCTGCCGCTTGTCTCCATCATCCTGCTCCCCAAGCCTGGGCACCACCCCCCGATGGGCTCCCAGGGCTCCAGGTAGCAATCAGTGAATGGAGGAGGCAGTGCGAGGCCATGCTGGACCAGGCCCGCCGGGAGAGCCAGGAGGGGCATTTGTGGGGTTCCAACAGGCACGGTGTGTGAGAAGCCTAGAATCCTGCCAGCTGGACACCACTAGACAGGGTGGGCTCCCATCCTTGGAGTGGACATGATCAGTGGCCATTCCACCTGGTCCTGCCTCCTCCCCAAGGGGTCTCTGCCAGTGGGGCTGGACCCAGGGCCCTGGGGACCTGCCCTGTGGCCGCCCATTGCCAGCACCTTTAGGCCATCTGCTCTCAGCCATTGGGTCAGCCCTAAGACCCTGGAGAGCTGCAGGCCCCACCCTTGGGGCCCTGTGCAAGCCTTGAAGTGGACATGGGCCTGAGCGCCAGACACAGAATGTGCACAGAGGCCCCCGAGGGAAGGGCATTGCAAGCAGAGGGGCTTCATGGCCAGAGGCCCACGTGCTGGTCCAAGGGGCGCTGGGCAAATGAGTCTGAGCTCTGCTGGAAACAGAAAGCCCTGGAGAACTGGCGGGGCCCTTTGTTTCCCAGGGAAGGTCAGGCTGCCTGGGAGGCCGTTGCGAGGCACCAGCCCCAGGAGGCAAGCCTGGGTCTGCCTGCGGTCTGGCCACCGCAGGGCGGCCACCCACCCAGGACGCACTCCGGAGAAGGCCCGCCCCCCCCACCCCAGGCTGCCAAGTGCCTGCTGTGCCTCCTGCCTCCTTCAGGATAAGTGTCACCTCCTGCAAGTCTCAGGGACCCTCCCAGCTCAAGATCAAAATGTCTGTCAGACCCTTCAGTCCGGCCAACGCAGGATGCTAAGGGACGGGCCAGAGAGGCCCAGTGAGGCCCAGCCAGGCCCACCCCCAGGAGCCCCAGACCAGCTAGTTGGGTCCTAGGCCTGGTTAACCTTCTTGGGGGGGAGGGCGGTGACCTGCCTCCGGTCTGTCTGGCTACCATGCCTCCCCCGGCCAAGGATGGCTGCAGGTGTCCCTCTGCATCATGCACGGCCCAGCCCTGTGTCCTACAGCCCCTGGAGGAACGCTGCCTGGGCTCCCCAAGCCGAGGCCCACCACTGCCTCCTGATAGGCTACCGCACTTGAGCTCGGGGAGAGAGGACGGCAGCCACATGCCACAGGGCCGCTGTGTGCCCCGACCACCCGTGCCCACCCACGGTCCCCAGCCCAGCCCCAGCCCCCTGGGGGCTGCACAGCCATCATCAGACATCGCCACCCAAAGTCAGTGCCAAGGAGAAGAGCAGCGATCTCAGCCGTCCCTCAGCTGACCCCCTGCTCTGTCCCAGGCCAGCACTGCCAACCTGGGCCCATCCCAGGGACATGAATTCCCTGTGCCCCTGGAGCCAAGAGGGCAAGGACGGAGCAAGTGAGAGCTGTGAGAGGAAGGGCCTTGGAGTGGACAGGAGGCTGCCGGCCCAGGGGTGGCCGGGAAGCGGAGCATCAAACGCCTGGACCACGTGTGCTGTCAGCGAGGCGCCAGAGCAGTCTCGTCTGGAAGGCCGGGAGATACTCCAGCGTCCGGCAATGCGCTGGGGGCAGCAGGGCCGCTGCGCAGAAGGTGAGGGGCCCGAACCACGGAGCTGCTTCTCCCTGGCCCAACAGACATTCCTCGTGAACTTGGTCTACGCGCGGTGCCCAGGGAGTCACGTGGTCCTGCTCTCGCCGGTGGCCGCGGGATGGGCGGGAGGAGAGGGTTGGGAGGGGCGCAGCCTGCCTGTGTGCTGGGCAGCGGAGGTGCCCTCGGAAGGAAGCCCAGCTGGAGAGGCTCCCCAGTGCTCTGCCAGATCCCGCCGCTGCCTCCTCACGCCACAACTCTACCTCCACTGCCAAGAATGAAGACCACCGCCTCCAGGAAGCTTTCCCTGACCCCCGGGGCGCCCCGTACGTCCCGCTGCAAAAAGTGCTGGGGCCCCGCACAGCCTCCTCGGAGGGATGGGTCGTCCCCAGAGGTGTCCCGACCCGGTCTGGGAACCGGACTCGAACCGCACCCGCCCGCTGAGCTGGGGCGCTCCACAAGGGGCGGGGCCGCGGGCGGGGGCGGGGCTCTGCGGGGCCGGGAGGCGGGGGCGCGCGGAAGGCGCGCGGGCGGGCGGCTCACCTGACGGTAGTGCAGCGTGAACGGCCGCAGGTAGGGCGAGGTTGCGCAGCGGCCCACGGCCGCCCCCTCGATGCGCTCCATGCCAGCGCGCGGAGCAGCCCGGCCAGGGGCAGAGTCCGCGCCGGCCTCGGGCTGCTGGGCGCGTGACCTGGCCCTGGGCATGCTCAGTGCGCGCGGGGCGGGGCGGGGCGGGAGCGCGCGGGGCGGGGCCGGAGCGCGCGGGCGGGGCGGGTAGCACCTGCGGAGTAGGCGCGGATGTGGGGCGCTCCCGGATCCACGCGCGGGGGCTAGCGCGTGGAGCCAGCTGCCGGGCGGCGTCCAGCGGGGTGTGCGGGCTGGCGGCCGCGAGCGTGGCTGGAGGGGACCCACCGGACACGCGATCGCCCGTACTCGGGGGACTTGGGACTTCGTGGGGCAGCCCTGGCGGGAGGAGCCGAGCGACTGTCCCACCCCACGCGGGATGACCGCGGCCCTGAGACTGGGGGATGCGGGGGCGAGGTCAGGCCCCAGAGGAGGAGAGCTGGGCCCTGGCGGGAGCGGTCCGCACTCGCGGCTGCCCGGTGGAGCCTGCAACAGGAGGAAGGAGGGGTCGGCGGGCGGCTGCATGCAGGACGCCTGAGCGCGCGGCGCTGGGAGACAGTGTAGACCCTTCTGGGGAGCCTGGTGGCCAGGAGGACAGCAGCTCTGGAAGAAGGGCGAGGCCCGGGAAGGGGGCGGGACCAGGGCCGAGGCAGACACAGGCCCTCTGCTCACCTGCGCCGCTGGGGAGGAGCTGGCGCTCCCAGTCTGGGGAGCGGTGCCTCCTTCCCCTCTAGGGCCCGCGGCTATTCCCACCCTCAGGAAGGCCGGCCCCGCCACGTTCCTCCAGAGCTGTGACAAGGCCCCAGCAGCTGGACTCCTTTCTTGGGGGTGGATCTGGAGACCCCTTCCCAATGCAGCCGCTGCCTCCCCAGGGGCCGCTAAAAATGGTGGGGCAGGGGGCTGAGCCCTGCTCCTGCTCTCTGACCTGTGGCCCCACAGCTAATAGCCAGGGGCACTGGCCACATGGCCTTGAAGCTGACGCCCATGTCTTCTTATCTGTTGCTGGGTAGCGAGACACGGGGCCTCAGAATGTCGTTGCTGGAAGCACCCATCTCTCGCTCACTGTCTTGGTGCACGGATGACTCTGGCTCAGCTGGGCAGCTCTGCCATGGGGTTTCTCTGCATGTGTGGTCAGGGGACAGCCGGCACGGGCACCTTCAGGAGGCTCAGCGGGCTTGCACATGCAGACGGCTCCGCTGAGCTGCCAGACGCAGGGCAACGTGTCTGGCAGCTCAGCGGGGCGGCCAGAGCTACGGGGGCGGGCTGGCCACCTCCCCACGTGGGTCCTTTCTGAGCAGCATGGCGGTCTCAGAGCCATGGGGTCCCCCTGCGACAGCAGCTCCCCCAGCGCAGGGTCACCGGGCCAGGCTTGCTGCAACCCAGCTCCCACATCGGGCAGCGCTCTTCACGGCATCCCGTGCCAGAAGGATGGTTCACAGGGTGCTGGAGCCGCGGGAAAGCACGGTTCCTGGGGGCTGTTGTCAGAGTCACCATCACCCCCCATAAACCTAGGGGTTTGTGCTTCCCAGCCTTCCTGGCCACCCCATGTCCTGAGCACTGGAGAGACGCACACCAGGGCCCGCCCTGCCCAGCAGCCAGGTGGTCCTCTCCTCCGCACACCTGGGGTCCAGGGGCACTCCTTGCCCACACTGCAGGACCGATTGCAGAGCTCACGCAGCCCTGGCCCGGGCAGAGGAGGAGCGGCAGGGAGCCGGGAGCATTTGGGAAGAAGAGGCAGCCTCTGCTCCCAGCATGCGTCTTGCAGTGGAGGGAAGGGAAGGTTTCATGAGACAAGCAGAGGTGGCTGGTCATGGAGACGGCAGAACTGAGGTCTCTCCACCCGTGAGGTGCTGCCCCTTGGGGAACAGTCTGGCTGTTCTGCAAAGGGGAGCCATCAAGTCCCCGGGAGACCCACCAGTACACTCCTGGGGGTGGAGTGTGGACTTGGCCAACCCCCGCACTGGCTGCCCTGCTGACAGCAGCTGGGAGGGCGGCCACGCTGCCACCAGCAGGCGAGCGGGTCCACTGTGCGGCTGACCGTAAGACGGAGTATTACTCAGCCACAGAAAGGAACAAAATTCAGATGATTCGAAGACAGGAATGTTCTGCGCTAACCGTGGCCATGCAGCCCGTCTCCCCCCATTCCTCTCTGTCCAGGATGTGGCCGGCACAGCCTCACCGTGGACCTGGGGTCAGGATCCCCGGGGTGTGGGCGAGTCTCTCGGGTGAGCTGTGAGTATGGCCACCGCGCAGCAGGCAGCCTGGAACTGGGGGTCCCAGTAGGAGGGACAAGGATCCCACACCCAGGCTGTGGGGTGGTCTAGCCAAGGAGCCGCCATCCCAGAGCCCTGGAGGAAAAGGGAGGGCTGGAGCCAGTGGGCTGGGCTGCTGTGAGCCCCCATGTCCACCCCCCGGACCTATAACCACGGGTGTGATGGCCTGGGACGGCTCAGACTCAGCATCCTTCTGCTCCGGCCGGAGTCTGACACCAGTATCCCTGGGCCAGGGCCCAGCTAGCAGCCACGCTGCGTGCCTTCTGAAGGCTTCAGGGCAGAGCCCGTCCCAGCCTTTTCCAGCTCCCACAGGCGCCCCACACCAGGGCTCTCTCCCCGACGCTGCTCCTGTCGTGGCCTCTCATTCTCCTCTGAGGACGCTTGTGGGGACCTCGGGCCCACCCCAGTAATCCAGGCTTGTCTCCCCATCTCACGTCTGTGTCCATGAGGTTCCACAGCGGCAGGCCTGGGGATCAGGGTGGAGCCCCGGGGGCACCACAGCCAGGCGGGAGCCTGTGTCGGGAGGCCCTAGGACCGCTCAGTGCCTCCAGAGCATGGCAGAGACCTGCTTCTCACCGGCAGGAGCCCTGGGTGGCTTCTGCTGGCTGCCGCCTCCCTTCTCTGGGTAGGAGCTGGGGCTCACCTGCTGAGGCCAGGACTGGAGGGAGAGTGGCTGCGCACCGAGCCCCACGGGGCAGGGGGCTGGTATCCCTGGTGACCCGGCCAGCAGGGCTTCCCCATGGTCCGGGTTGGAGGGCACGCTCGAGCAGTACCCAGCAGCCTGGGCAGAGAGATGGGGCCCCCGCTTCCCCCAGGGCTCCGCCTCCTCCCGGGGGGGCAGTGGGCAGCCACGGGTCCAGAGAGGTGAGGGCACGGGTCGGGGGTCCTGCTCGGAGAGACTCCAGGGATGGAGGGTGGTGCCCGCAGGGAGGGCTGAGGCAGCAGCCACAGCAGTGGTGACATCAGGGCTGGACGTACAAAGCAGCTGCAGAACTCAGTCTGGACCTGACGTGTCTGCCCCCCCCCGCCCCGCCCTGCCCCTGTGCTATGCTTACAGGGCCGGGCCTTGGTTATGGTCATGTCTCTGGAAGGCAGCTTTCTCTGGCCGTGCAAGGCCTTGGCCGGGACAGCCAGGAGCGACGCTGCCGGAGCTCACACAGCACGTGGCTGACCATGTGGCCCAAGCAGCCTAGGAGAAGGAGGCCCCAGCCCTATCCCCTGAGCCCTCCCCACGCACAGCAGGTCAGCCCCGCTCACCCTCATGGTCACAGGTGGCTCCCGTGGCCCCGGCATTGCCTACAGACCCAGGGGCAGCAGGGAAGGGGCGCGGTTTTGAAACTGGGAGGAAACCCTTGCCCAGAAGGCCCCATTGGGAGGACCCAGGACCGTTCCCTGGAAGGTGTGGGCCAGGGCGCGTGGCCTTCCCCGAGCGAGCCCAGACTATGGATGGTGAGGAGGAGCTGAGGTGGCCTGGAGGGGGTCCACCCCCCACCCCCCGCCCCGCAGCCTGGAGAGCTCAGCGGGGGTCTGCCTCCCACATGCACACGCACGCTCCCTCATGCTCTCCCAGGGGTGTGGCTCAGGGGCCCTGCCCCGGCCCTGCTGGGTGCGGGGCGCCTTCGTGAGACACTGAGAAGCGCACCTGCCTGCATTTCTTTCCACACCTAACCCTCTGGTTTCAACATCGTGTCTTCCCTCCTTCTGTGACGGCTCTCTTTCCCCGTCCACGTGGCTGGGCCGCGGGCGCCCAGGGGTTCGGTGGAACGTGACTCCAGGGTTTCCGGATGAGACGGGTGCTGGAGTCTGTGAACTGAGCGGAGCAGATGCCGGCCCAGTGTGGGCAGGCCTCGTCCGATCAGTTGGGGGGCACACAGGACCTCGGGCAGAGAGAGAATCCGCTCCCCGTGCCGTCCCACCTGGACGCGGGACTGCTCGGCCTGGGGGCTCCGAGTGAAGCCCACAGCGGGCTCTGCTGGGTCTGCCGCTCGCCGCCCGCCGGTTGTGGCCTCACAGCCTGCACTGGGTGACCGGTCCCTTAGAGCGACTCCCATCCCCGCATGTGTGTGTCTGTTTCCTTCTCTGGAGAACACAGGTCATCGTGCCTGGGCATCATCTGATGGGTCTTGTGCGGTGACCGCCCTGCACCGGTGCCCCTTCTCCAGGACCTGGGGGCCCTCCTCTTCCATCCCAGTGTCACTGACCCATGCCTTTGTCTTCCCTGGTCCTTGTCCTCATTTTGCTGACCTTCCTCCTTCGAGAGCGGTCTCATGAAAGCTGACTGCTTGGGACCCTCCCCTGATTGCTGTCTGACCAGGTGGCCCATCCTGGCTTGACCACGGGGCTACCCATTCCTTCTGGCGTCAAGGTAATGGCTGGACCAGTCCCTGACCCTTTGTGGGGGCCTGTGTTCCTCTGGCTGTGTCTGGGTCCTGAAATGCCATCATGTCCCATCTTGGCTGGGTTTCTGTACCCTCATCCAGTGACCCTTCCAGTCCGTAGACATGTCCGTGTGTCCCTGTGTCTGGTATCTCCCCCTTCCCCTTCTGGTGTCTCCAAGGTGGTCCACATGCCCCATCCTATTCCCTTTAACGCAGGGCCGCGGGGGCCCCATGTGCATCAGGGCAGGTGTGTCCTTTGTGGGGGGCATAGTACAGCTCTCCGGCCAGCCTCCGGGGGCCTAGATTTGGGTATCGGGGACACCTCTGGCCTCTGGCCCGAGCTGCACCA